CATGCAAATTACCTGACTCAAGGAAAGAGAAAATCCCAGCATTGGAAAGAAGGGAATATTTTGTATCAGGCTAGCATTATTCTGATATAAAATTCAGATAGTAACATCACAGGAAAATAGAATTACAGACCAGTATCCCTTATGAATACTGATGCATAAATCTTCATCAAAATATTAGCAAATCCTATCCAATAGCATATTAAAATAATTATTCACCATTCAAAGTGAAAATTTATCCCAATAATGCAAGGGTGGTTCACCATAAGAAATTAGTCAATGTAAATACATCAAGACTGAAAACTCCCCTATTATCAGGAACAAGACAAGGACACCCACTTTCAGTGCTGCTACTTAAAATTGTACTAGAAGTTCTAGCCAGTGCTATTGGATGAGAAAACAAAATAAAAGGCACCCAATTTGGAAAGAAATAGGTAAACTATCTCTATTCACAGATGGCATGATTCTATATAAGAAAATGTTAACGTGCCCAAGAAAGCTAAAACTGTGATTACTGATGTAGTTCGTTGTTGTTCAGCACCCTGATAGCAGGTTGTTGGAGATGATTGCTATTATGAGGACTATAGATGCGGTAGATTGAATTAGGAAGTATTTAGTAGCGGCTTCTGTGGAGCGGAGGCTTGTTTTTTTTATTAAGATCGGAATGAAAGCTAGTATGTTTATTTCTAGGCCTGTTCAGGCGAGAAATCAGTGTGAGCTTAGTGTTGTGATAAGTGTGCCTGTGATTATTGTGGTGTAGATAATGGGTTGAGCTAGTGGGTTAATTAGTACGGGAAGGATGTGACCAACATTTTCGGGGTATGGGCCCGATAGCTTGTTTAGCTGACCTTACTTTAGGATAGAGTGTGTAGGGTAGCACGGAGAAGTTTGGATTCTCAGGGGTAGGTTCGATACCTACAGTCCTAGAAACAAGAGGATTGGGGCCTCTATTATTTACTCCATCAAAGTAACTCTTTTGTCAGACATATTTCTAGGTTTGAGGGGGAATGCTGGAGATTGCGATGGGTATTGAGGTGGATCATATGAGTAGTGCTAGTGTGAGGGGGAGGAAGTTTTTTCATAGTAGGTGTATAAGTTGGTCGTAACGGAATCGGGGGTATGCTGCCCGGATTCATAGGAATAGGGAGGTTAGGAAGAGTGTTTTGGTGGCGAAGCATGTTGTGAATAGTTCTGGTGAATAAGTGGAGTGGGATGTGCCTAGGAAGATTGTGGTTGTTAGGGCGTTTATTATGATGATGTTTGTGTATTCGGCTATGAAGAATAGGGCGAATGGACCTGCGGCGTATTCAATGTTGAAGCCTGATACTAATTCTGATTCGCCCTCTATGAGATCAAAAGGGGTTCGGTTTGTTTCTGCTAGTGTGGAGGTAAATCATATTATGGCTAGGGGTCATGATGGTAGGAGGAGTCATAGATGCTCTTGCGTTGTAATGAGTGTGTTAAGGTTAAATGAGCCGCTTATTAGTAGGACTGATAGGAGGATAATAGTAAGGGTGACTTCATATGAAATTGTTTGGGCGACGGCTCGCAGAGCTCCGATTAGGGCGTAGTTTGAGTTTGATGCTCATCCTGATCATAGGATGGAGTAGACAATTAGGCTGAGTATGGCTAGGATGAATAGGAGCCCTAGGTTGAAGTTGATTAGAGCGTTGGGTATGGGGAGGGGGGTTCATAGGAGGAGGGCAATGAAGAAGGCTAGAGCAGGTGCGACGACATAGAGGATGGTGGTAGATGTTGCGGGTTTCAGGGGTTCTTTAGTGAAAAGTTTTACGGCATCGGCGAAGGGTTGTAATAGTCCGCATGGACCTACAATATTGGGCCCTTTTCGTAGTTGCATGTGGCCTAGTAATTTTCGTTCAACGAGTGTGAGAAATGCTATGGCGGCTAATGTGGGTATGATTATAAGTAGGAGATTTACTGTGGTCATGGTGTTAAGAAGAGGAATTGAACCTCTGGTTACAAAGTTTTAAGTTTTATGCAATTACCGGGCTCTGCCATCTTAACAAACCCTGTTTTCGGGTGGAATGTGTGGTATTTTGCTAAATTAAGACTAGGTCATTTATGTAGTGAAGGCGCTTTGTGAAGTGGGCCTTATTTCTCTTGTCCTTTCGTACAGGGAGAAATGTGCAATAGATAGAAACCGACCTGGATTGCTCCGGTCTGAACTCAGATCACGTAGGACTTTAATCGTTGAACAAACGAACCCTTGATAGCTGCTGCACCATTAGGATGTCCTGATCCAACATCGAGGTCGTAAGCTCTATTGTCGATATGGACTCTAGAATAGAATTGCGCTGTTATCCCTAGGGTAACTTGTTCCGTTGATCAAGTTATTGGATCAATTATAAGTGTTAGTTCGCTTTGACTTGTGTGGTCTTAGCATGTGTTATTCGGAGGTTTTGTTGTGCTCCGAGGTCGCCCCAACCAAAATTTTTAATGCAGGTGTCGATAGTTTAAAGGTCCGTGGGTTTGTGTAATTTTTGATTGCATTAATAGATTAAAGCTCCATAGGGTCTTCTCGTCTTATTATACTATGTCCGCCTCTTCGCGGGCAGGTCAATTTCACTGGTTAAAAGTAAGAGACAGTTAAACCCTCGTGGTGCCTTTCATGCGAGTCCCCATTTAAAGAACAAGTGATTATGCTACCTTTGCACGGTCAGGGTACCGCGGCCGTTAAACGTGTGTCACTGGGCAGGCAGTGCCTCTAATACTAGTAATGCTAGAGGTGATGTTTTTGGTAAACAGGCGGGGTTTAGGTTTGCCGAGTTCCTTTTACTTTTTTTAACCTTTCCTTGAGGCATGCCTGTGTTGGGTTAACAGTGAAGGTAGCATGGGCTTGTTTGTGCTTGCTATGCCTGGCTGTTAGGTATCGGTGAGGTTTTCGATCCGATTTGGGCTTATGCAGTGGAGAAAATATTCATGTTACTTATACTAGCATTATTGCTTCTATATGGTGATAGATTAATCCAATGTGGTGTGAGGAGTTCAGCTATGTGTTTGGTATTTTTGGGGTGGTTAGTGTTGAGCTTGAACGCTTTCTTAATTGATGGCTGCTTTTAAGCCAACTATGGTAATTGAGGATTTTACTCTCTCTATAAGGTTTTTTCCTAGTGTCTAAAGAGCTGTCCCTCTTTAGACTAGCAATTAAGCTTACAGGGAGATTAGGTGGTTCTATAGGTAAGCTTAAGGTCGAACTAAGATTCTGTCTTGGATAACCAGCTATCACCAGGCTCGGTAGGCTTGTCACCTCTACCCAGAAATCTTCCCACTATTTTGCCACATAGATGGGTGCGCTCTTTTAGCTGTTTTTGGGTAGCTCGTCTGGTTTCGGGGAATTTGGCTTGTAGTTCTCTTTGTGAAATTGTTTCTAGCTAATTCATTATGCGAAAGGTACAGGGGTTAGTCCTTGCTGTTTTGTGCTTGGGTGGTTTCATCTTTCCCTTACGGTACTGCGTCTATAGCGCCAGATTAAAATTTCTATCGCCTATACTTTGTGTAGGTGAATGGTTTAGTGCGTGTTAGTTTGGTATTAGTGTTGGTTATGCTTAGGGCTAGTATTGGCTCAAGGCAATCAAGTGGTATTGAGATTTTCTGGGTGTAGGCCAGGTGCTTTATATTAAGCTATGCCTTGATTTATCCAAGCGCACCTTCCAGTACGCTTACCATGTTACGACTTATCCTCTCTATATAAATATTAGGGCGTTTAGTTAAGATGTTCCTTAAATATATTTGAGAGGAGTGACGGGCGGTGTGTGCGCGCTTTATGGCCTGGTTCAATTAAGCACTCTATTCTTAATTTACTGCTAAATCCTCCTTGGACCCTTAAATTTCATAAGGGTTTTCGTGGAATTTTCTGAGGTAGAAAATGTAGCCCATTTTTTACCGTCTCATAGGCTACACCTTGACCTAACGTGTTTGCGGCAATGGCATTTGCGCTCACTTTGTGACCCTCATTAGGGTTTGCTGAAGATGGCGGTATATAGGCTGAGCAAGAGAGGGTGGGGTGGATCGGGGTTTATCGATTACGGAACAGGCTCCTCTAGGGGGTGTAAAGCACCGTCAAGTCCTTTGAGTTTTAAGCTATAGCTTGTAGTATTCTGGCGAGTAGTTTTGTTATCTAACTACTGAGGTTTAGGGCCAAGCATAGTAGGGTGTCTAATCCCAGTTTGGGTCCTGGCTATTGTGTGTTCAGAAGCTTTAAAGCCACTTTCGTAGTTTATTTTACATCAGCTAGAGTTTTACAGTTTAGATGGAGTTTAGCTTTATTATATCAGATCTTAAACACCCTCTACGCCGGTCTCTATTAGCTAGGGTTAATCGTGTAACCGCGGTGGCTGGCACGAAATTGACCAACCCTAAATATAGCATGGCTTAGTTGAACTTTCGTTTATTGCTAAATATTTGTCACTGCTGTCTCCCGTGGGGGTGTGGCTAGGCAAAGCGTTTTGAGCTGCGTGCGCGTGCTTGATGCTTGCTCCTCTTGGTCATGATGATTTGTAGGGCGTCTTCACCGGAGCGAGGATGTTTGCATGTGTAATCCTGCCAAGAGCTAATAGAAAGGCCAGGACCAAGCCTATATGTTTATGGGGTGTGCAAACCCATCTAGGCATTTTCAGTGTCTTGCTTTGGGTGGGTTTAAGCTACATAAACAAAGGTGCTAGTATAGTTGTGAGGCAGCCTCTTTCGGGTTGTATGAGAAGGATTTGTTGCGGGTTGGTGTAGAGGGTGTTTAGTGAAGTAAATGTTTATTAGTTGAGGGAGTGGCAGTTGGAGTTGTGCACACCTAAAAGATGGAAATATAGGCTCTGATCGGATATGTTAAGACTTTTGTTTTTGGGGTTTGGCAAGAGTGGGGTTTGGATGAAGGTCGGAGATGGGGGTGGGGGGGTTTGATAAGATACGGTTAGTGATGTGTGGTGTGGTGTGGTGTGGTGTGGTGTGGTGTCGGCTGGGATGATTATTGGTATGTCCTACAAGCATGAATTAAATAACACCTTGCTAAGGTTTGTGTGGAGCTAGAATATTGAACGTAGGTGCGATCAACAACTGCATGTACTAGGAATCAAAGACAGGCGCATACAGGACGGGATGTGGTGGGAGTCAGCATTCTGCAATGGGGTTGCGTGCAGACCAGAGATAAAAGATACCAAATGCATGGAAATCTCCCGTGACTGGTTAATAGGGTGATAGACCCGTGATCCATCGAGATGTCTTATTTAAGGGGAACGTGTGGGCGATCTTGATTGTTATGGCCCTGAGGTAAGAACCAGATGCCGGATACAGTTCAGGTATAGCTACCCCCACGAGTTATGGGCCCGGAGCGAGGAGAGTAGCACTCTTGTGCGGGATATTGATTTCACGGAGGATGGTGAGTAAGGGATTCCTAAGTGAAGGGGAGCATCCGTGGTGAGGAGGGTTATTTAATAGATATGTGCTATGTCCGATGAACGATTTAATGTACTATGGACGACTGGCAAGGACTGGTTTAGTTGATATTCATGAGGGGGGACAAGTTAAGTCCGAGGGAACCATGTTATGTGTTACTGTTGAGGTTTGTATTAGGATACTTGCTTGTAAGCATGCTGTTTGGAATGTCAAGTTGGTATGTAATAATATGTGTTATGTACAGTTAAGCATATATAGTACTATATATTATACATGTTGGCTAGCAGTAATGCACGAATTACATAGTAGTATTATGGGTGGATTGGTGCTAGAGTTATTTATGAAGCTTATGCAATATAAGAATGCAGAAAGTAGTTTAAATTAGAATGCCAGCTTTGGGTGTTGGTGGTGGAGTTAGGTACTTTCTTTCTGACTGCCCTAGGAAGAGTGTTCATTTCTGGTTTACAAGGCCAGTGTACTAATTTATACTACGAGGGCAAGTTCACTTGAGTAGGTTGTTTTCGATTAGGGAGGCCAGTGGTATTAGGATTAGAATTGTGATGAAGTATATTATGGATGCTACTTGGCCGATAGTGGTAAGGGGTTGGACTACTGGTTCGCTTCCAATTCAGGTAAGGGTCAATAGGATTGTGATTAGGAGTCAGAATAGAAATTGGCTGAGTGGGCGGAATATTATGCTTTGTTGTTTGGATTTGTGAAGTATAGGGATGGCTGCTAGAATGAGGATCGATAGAAAGAGTGCTAGTACGCCTCCCAGTTTGTTGGGGATGGATCGTAGGATTGTGTATGCAAATAGGAAGTATCACTCTGGTTTGATATGTGGGGGAGTGTTTAATGGGTCGGCTGGAATGTAGTTGTCTGGGTCGTTTAGGAGGTTGGGTGAGAGTAGTGTTAGTGTTGCTAGGATGAAGAGAAGGAGGACTAGGCCCAGGATGTCTTTGGTTGTGTAGTAGGGGTGGAAGGCGATTTTGTCTGAGTCGGAGGAGATTCCGCAAGGGTTGTTTGATCCTGTTTCGTGCAGGAATAGTAGGTGCACGGTTGTGAGGGCGATGATGATGAAGGGTAGGATAAAGTGTAAGGTGAAGAATCGTGTGAGAGTAGGGCTGTCGATGGCGTATCCTCCTCAGATTCATTGGACGAGATTGGTTCCGATATACGGGATTGCTGATAGCAGGTTTGTGATTACTGTTGCTCCCCAGAATGATATTTGGCCTCATGGGAGAACATAACCCATGAAAGCCGTTGTTATAGTTATAAGAAGGAGTATAATACCAATGTTTCAGGTTTCTAGGAGGAGGTATGAGCCGTAGTAAAGGCCCCGACCGATGTGTAGGAAAAGGCAAATGAAGAGTATAGAGGCACCATTGGCGTGGAGGTAGCGAGTGATTCAGCCGTACTTTACATCTCGGGTGATATGTGCAATTGAGGAGAAGGCGGAGGAGGTGTCTGGTGAGTAGTGTATTGCTAGGAGTAGGCCTGTGATGATTTGTAAAATTAGGCAGGCTGCAAGAAGTGAGCCAAAGTTTCACCATATGGAGAGGTTGGGTGGGGCGGGTAAATCGATGAGGGAGCGATTAATTATTTTTAGGATTGGGTTGGATTTGCGTATTGGAGTCATTGGTGCTTTTATAGTTGAAATACAACGATGGTTTTTCGTACCATTAGTCATGGTTGGAGTCCATGTGAAAGCAATGACGTATATTTTGTTTGCATTGAGTGTTTTATTAGTTATGGGGTTTGTGGGGTTTTCTTCTAAGCCTTCTCCTATTTATGGGGGTCTGGCGTTAATTGTTAGTGGTGTGATTGGTTGTGTGATTGTTTTAAGTTGTGGGGGGGCTTATATGGGTTTGATGATGTTTTTAGTTTATCTGGGGGGTATGATGGTTGTTTTTGGTTATACTACTGCAATGGCTATTGAAGAGTATCCTGAGACATGGGGTTCGGGGTTTGAGGTTTTAGGGGGTCTTTTAGTAGGGTTGATAATGGAGGTGGTATTAGTTTTATGGGTTTTAAGTTTGGATGAGGCGGTAGAAGTGGTGGTTAGTTTTAGTGATACTGGTGATTGGGTGATTTTTGAGGGGGAGGGGTCAGGATTGATTCGAGGTGATTCTATTGGTGCGGGTGCCTTATATGATTATGGGCGTTGATTAGTGGTAGTTGCTGGTTGGACATTATTTGTTGGTGTGTATGTTGTGATTGAGATTGTTCGGGGTAATAGGTTATATCATTAGAATTAGGGCTAGGGTAAGGGGGATGAGGAAAGAAAGGGAGTAGAGTTTGATTATGCCTTTTTGGGTGGTTACAGTTATGGAGGCAGTAATGTGTGCTTGTGAGATTATTTTAGGTATAGATTTCTCTAGTCATGCTGAATCCAATAGGAGAAGGGCTAAATTTTGGCTTATGAGTAGGTTTTGATAGGGGATTGTGCGGTGAATTGTGGTGGGAAAATATCCTAGTATATTGGAGAATTTGAATATTTGTGATGGGTTTTTTATTTTCAGTTTGTTTGTTATAAGGGTGAGGTCTAGGGCTGCTAGGAAGCCTAGGACAGTTGCGCATAGAGCTGAGAGTTTTAAGTAGAGGGGTATTGTTGGTTGGGGGAGTAAGGTGGGGGGGATGTTGTTGGTGATAAGAAATCCTGTGATTATGCTGCCCATTGTGAGGCGTTTAATTGGGTTTAGTAGAGCGGGGTTGTTTTCGTTGATGTTTGTTAGGGCTGGAAAACGGGGTTGTCCTGTTAGGGTGAGAAGGATAGTTCGAGTGCTATAGGCGCTTGTTAGAGAGGTAGTGATGAGAGTGATGAATAGGGCTCAGGCGTTGGTGTACGACGTGTTTGTGGCTTCGATAATAAGGTCTTTGGAGTAGAAGCCTGTGAGGAAGGGTATTCCTGTGAGTGCTAGGTTGCCAATGATTATGGAAGTTGAGGTGAGGGGTATTGTTTTGAATAGGCCTCCTATTTTTCGAATGTCTTGTTCGTTGTTTAGGTTATGGATAATGGATCCGGAGCATATAAAAAGTATGGCTTTAAAGAAAGCATGGGTGCAGATGTGTAGGAATGCTAAGTATGGTTGGTTGATGCCGATGGTGATTATTATTAGGCCTAGTTGGCTTGAGGTGGAGAAGGCTACAATCTTTTTAATGTCGTTTTGTGTAAGGGCGCAGATGGCTGTAAATAGGGTAGTAATAGCCCCCAGGCATAATGTAAGATTTTGAATTATTGTGTTGGTTTCTATTAGAGGGTGGAAGCGGATGAGTAAGAACACTCCGGCAATGACTATGGTACTGGAGTGAAGTAGGGCTGAGACTGGAGTTGGGCCTTCTATGGCAGAGGGTAGTCAGGGGTGAAGACCGAATTGAGCTGATTTTCCTGCTGCTGCTAGGAGGAGGCCTATTAGTGGGAGGGAGCTTGAGTTGAAATTTAGGGCTAGTATTTGTTGGAGGTCTCATGAGTTGTAATGTAGGAGAAATCATGCTATGGCTAGGATAAGACCAATGTCGCCAATGCGATTATATAAGATTGCTTGGATGGCTGCTGTGTTGGCGTCTGTTCGAGCGTATCATCAGCTAATTAGGAGAAAAGATATGATTCCTACGCCCTCTCAGCCGATAAGGAATTGGAAGAGGTTGTTAGCAGTGACTAGAATTAGTATGGCAGTGAGGAAAATAAGAAGATATTTGAAGAATTGGTTGATGTTTGGGTCTGAGTTTATGTATCATAGCGAGAATTCTATGATGGACCAGGTGATGAATAGTGCGATTGGAATAAATATCATGGAGAAGTAATCTAGTTTGAAGCTTAGTGTTAGGTCTAATGTTTGGGCTATTATTCAATGTCAGCTCCAAATGGTTGTTTCTTGGTTCGAGAAGATGAATAAGGTTGTTGAGGGGAGGCTGATGGTGAAAGCATATATTACGGTTGTTTTTACGTAATCTGGGTATGGACGTTTTTTGTAAGGGTTGATGAGGGTGGCAAAAATTGGGAGGGTTAGGGAGATAAGGGTTGTTATTATGATGGGGGTGTGCATGGTTATTACTTTTATTTGGAGTTGCACCAATGTTTTTGACTCCTAAGGTCAATGGATAGCTGTTATCCTTTAAAAGTTGAGAAAACCGTAATTTTAGGTACGGGTACATGGGTTAGCAATCCTTGTGAGTTTTCTCGGTAAATAAGAGGTGGTAAGTCTCTGTGGTTAGATTCACAATCTAATGTTTTAGTTAAACTATATCTACAGGAGGTAAATCCTAGGATGATGTTGGGATTGAGAGACAGAAGGATAATTGGGGCGAGGTGTATGAATATTAATATATTTTCTCGTGTGAAGGAGGGTTTTATGTTGATTATATGGTGTGTAAGTATTCCTCGTTGCGTTGTAATGAATATGTGGAGAGAGTAGAGGGCCGTAATTAGTATATTAAGCCCTGTCAACATAATGGTGATATGGGATCAGGAAAATGAGGTCGTGATTACAAAGAGTTCGCCTAGTAGGTTGATAGTGGGGGGCAGGGCAAGGTTAGTAAGGCTTGCTGTTAATCATCAGAAGGCTGTTAGTGGGAGTAGGATTTGAAGTCCTCGGGACAGTAGTATGGTACGGCTGTGGGTGCGTTCATAGTTTGAATTGGCTAGGCAGAAGTACATGGAAGAGGTGAGTCCGTGAGCGATTATAAGGATGGTTGCGCCGGAAAAGCTTCAGGGGGTTTGGATGAGAGAGGCTACAATTACAAGGGCCATGTGGCTTACAGAAGAGTATGCGATAAGTGATTTTAGATCTGTTTGTCGGAGGCATGTTAGGCCTGTTATGATTATGCCCCATAAGGATAATATGAGGAATGGGTAAGCTATGTATTCTGTTAAGGGGTTAAGGATGGGAGTAAGTCGTATTATGCCGTAGCCACCTAGTTTTAGGAGTACTGCGGCAAGGACTATTGATCCTGCAATGGGGGCTTCGACATGGGCTTTAGGAAGTCACAGGTGTAGGCCATATAGGGGTATTTTTGTCATAAAGGCTATTATGCATGCTAGTCAGGTAAAGTTGTGAGATCAGGTGGTTGTTAGTTTTTGGTCTGTGAGTGTTAGTAATGTAATATTTAATGAGCCTGTGTTGTTGTAGGTGTGGCTTAGTATGATGAGTAGGGGTAGAGAGCCGGTTAGTGTATAGAATAGAAAGTAGGTACTTGCGTTGAGGCGTTTTGCACCAACCTAATAGTAATGTAATTCAGCAAAGTTACAGGGTACAAGATCAACATATAAAAATAAGGTATGTCTATATACACAGCAAAGAAAAATCCAAAAAGAAAATTAAGACAGCAATTCTATTTAAAACAGCATGAGGAAGAAATACTACAGAATAAATCTGACCAAAGAAGTGAAAAAGACTTGTATGCTGAAAGCTACAAAACATTGCTGAAAAAAATTAAATACCTAAATAAATGGAAAGACATTCTATGCTCATGAATAAAAAGATATAATGTTGTTAAAATGTCAATGCTAACCAAAGTAATCTACACATATAACACAATTCTTATCAATATTTCAACAGCTTCTCAAACTGATCCTTAAGTTCATATGGAATTGCAAGGGGCCCTGAATATCCTAAACAATCTTGAAAAGAAAAAATAAACCTGGAGGATTCACACTTCCCAAATGTAAAACTAACTACATAGCTATAGTAATCAAAACAGTATGGTACTGGAATAAAAACAGACATATAGACCAAGGAATATAATAGGCAAGAAATAAACCCTTACATATATGATTAATTGATTATTTTAACAAGGGTGGCAAGAACATTCAATGAGGATAGGAAAATCTTCAAAAAAACAGTGCTGGGACATCCATAGGCAAAAAAGAAAGAAACTGGATCCTTCCCCCACACCAAAAACAAAAATAAACTCAAAATAAACGAAACACCTAAACAGAAAAACTAAAACTATAAAATCTTAGAAGAAAATATTGGGGAAAATCTTTATGACCTCAGATTTGGCAATGATTTTATTGATATGACACCAAAGGCACAGGTAAGAAAAGAAAAAATAGATACATTGGACTTCACCAAAATTAAGAAATTTTGTATATCAAAGGACACTATTAAGAAAGCAAAAAGATAGCCTACTGAAAGGGTGAAGATATTTGCATATCATGTATTGGAAAAGGCATTCATACCCAGATTATATAAAGTGCTCACACAACGCTACAACAACAAAAGTCAAGCAATTCAATTCAAAATAGCCAAAGGATTTGAATGAACATTTTCTTCAAAGAAGATATACAAATGGACAGTAAGCCCTTGAAAAAAATGTTCAACATCATTAGTCATTAGGGAAATGCAAATAAAAACCACAATGAGTTACCACTTTATACCTATTAGGATGGCTATAATAAAAACAAACAACAAAAGTAACAGGTATTTTCAAGGAAGAGGAGAAATTGAAACTCATGCATTGCTAGTGGGTTTGTAAAATGGTGCAGTTACTATGTAAAATAGTTTGTCAGTTTCTCAGAAGGTTAAACATAGCACTACTATATGCCCCAGTGATTCCACGCCTATGTATTATGTTGATGCAAAAGTGATTGCAATTTTTGCAATTACTCTCAATGACAAACCACAATCAATTTTGCATCAACCTAACATTTATCTAGAAGAATTGAAAGCCGGGCCTTGATCAGATATTTGTACAACAATGCTAGTAACAGAATTATTTAGAATAACCAAAAGGTAGGAGTCACCTAAATGTCCATTAACAGATACAAGGATAAACAAAACATGGTCTATACATACAATGGAATATTATCCAGCCATTAAAAAATTAAATTTTGGTATACATCCTACAACATGGATGAAACTTGAAAGCAAAGTTAATAAGCTAGACACAGAATAACAAGTATTTGTGTAATGTCACTTATATGAGGTACCCACTGTAGTTAAATAGAGACAAAGTGGGTTACCAATGGGTTACCAACGGCTCAGAGCAGAGAGTTATATTGCACACTGTGTACAAAGCTTTTGTTGGGACTTACGAAAAAGTCTCGGGTGCAGATCATCTTGATGGTTATACAACATTGTGAATGTATTTAATGCCACTGAATTGCACATTAATAAATGGCTAAAATGGTAAATATTATGTTAGGTATATTCTATGACAGTTTAAAAAAATGATTGAAAAGATAATAAATGGTAAGGTAATTATGATAGATGCAATCTGTTGAAAAGGACGATAAATCCTTCCAGACACCATTCTCTTAAAAAACAGTAGTGTATTATCTTAACAAGGCATGGCTTCAAAAGAATTCTGGGGTCATTTGGGTTACAGCTCTATTTTTCGGACTGCCACAAACATAATTGGCTCAGACAATTCATCTCTACCTAATATTTACAATCCTGGTCCAAAGCAGTTTCATGAAACCAAGACTCTGAGTCTTAGGCTGTTTGAGAGAGAACACTAAGAACAATAACAAGTATAGTGGTCATCATAATTAAATGTAAGGATTTAAATATATAATTATGTAAGCTTAAATTTGAAAAATGGACCTTCACCGTCGTAGACATTTTGCTAGTGATAAAACTGAGTCACTAACACATTTTCATGAGGAATTTAAGGTCAAATGATTATTTTTATCAGAGCTATGTTTTCTGACTTCTAATTCAGAGACTCCTCTACTTTGCCAAACTAAACCAATTTTTATTTATCCAGATGCATAAATACAACAGTTCTGAAAGTTAGGTACTGTATGGTCATTTGGCAAAATAAAATACATAACATAAAAGTGCTGGCCGGGCGTGGTGGCTCACGCCTATAATCCTAGCACTTTGGGAGGTCCAGGTGGGTGGATTACCTTAGGTCAAGAGTTGGAGACCAGCCTGGCCAACATGGCAAAACCCCGTCTCTACGAAAAAATACAAAAATCAGCTGGGCATGGTGGCACGTGCCTGTAATCCCAGCTACTTGGGAGGCTGAGGCTGGAGAATGACTTGAACCTGGGAGGCAGAAGTTGCAGTGAGCCAAGATCACACCATTGCACTCCAGCCTGGGCAACACAGCAAGACTCCGTCTCAAAAAAAAAAAGTGCTGAATGACTCTTAAATGAAAATTAATTAAAATTAAACTGCACTGAATTTCAAATAACCCAGCATACCCATGAAAGTATATTGGGATCAGAGAATAAAGCTTTCATAGGCATAAGCACTATTCCAGGAATTCTTCTGACCACTTTGGTTATCTCTGACTCCTACTGCTACTTGCTCTTGGCTTTCCTGATTAATCTATCAATCATCTCCCCATTTGGGCTCTGTAGATTGATTTTCTAGCCTTTGTGATTAGCAACCAAATATTGGCTTACAGCAGCATACCATTCTTCACCTACCCAAATCGGGCAAGAAGATTTTGCTATGCGTTCTGGATATCCATAAGCCACATAGATAAGAGGCAACACATACTTAAGGATTATTTGTGCTACCTGGGACTAATGAGCTCCCCTTTCCAGAGCTTGTCAGAGGTTGTTTGACATGTTGAAAGAGAAACTAACAGCCACCTAGTTTCAAACTGCAATCAATATTCAAAATTACTCTATTACTTCAATAATAATGTAATAGCCCAGCCCTGCCTGTCCACTGGGATCTTATAACTAGTCTTGCTATTTCTGACTCTTAGAAGATATTTTCTTTTATTTAACTATATCATGTCTCCTAACTTTTGTTCATTGCTTTTAGTTGCATCCCTTAGGGTAAAACAGAATTTACCTGTTCTATTTTCCACATGACAACATCTTCAAATATTTTGAAGATTTTACAAGTATCCCTCTACATCGGCTATTCCCCATTCTGAGATAAGGGACAATTCAAATTTCTTTGGTAATTTATAACTTTTTTCAGTCTCTTAACACCCTGTCACTCTCTGAAAGAGTCATCTAGTTTTACTATGTTCCTCTCCAAGAGTGATGTACAGAGCAGATACAGCCCTCCCCATTAATTGTCTGCCACCACTGAGAGGAAGAGGACTGAGATTGCCT